AGGTGAAGGCTAAGCGGGCATCGAGGTATCGGGCCATCGAGGGTATTTGCAAAATTGAGCTTAAGTCGCAATTAAGCAATTGCCCAACTATCGAGTATGTTCCTACTGGGCCAGGCCAAGCCTGCTCGGATAACGGCTCTCTGTTTTCAATAAAGTTGCGCCCTACTCATCCTCCAGCATAACTATGGCAGCAGTCTTTGCAATAAATAGCGAACGCCCCTCCTCTCCCCCCCTCGATTTGAATGCATTGCACTGCACTGCATTTACGGGCAGTGGCTTTTTAGTCCAGTAACAAGCAGCTCTATACAATATTTAAAGCACAAATGCTGCACAATGTTGGCCAAAGTAATCTCAAGCTCTGCAGCAGCAGCAGCAGCAAAGCGTCGCCTCGACTCGCAAGTGCCACAACTTGCGGCAGTCCGCAGAAAGCAAATGGAGCATTGCGAGCAAAATAAAAGCAAACAACAATTTTTTGTAATGCTTTGCAATAGCCAACTTCGGGGCTATTCGCAAGCGTTAAGGCAACTTTGCGGCGATTTTTTCTTTAAGTGGAAAACTTATGCCTTTGGCATCGCGCGAATGCGTTGCCTGCAACCAAGCTGAAAAAGTGCCCAGCCCAGCCCAGCAGCGTGAAAGTGGCTCAAATAGACCAAATAGCAGTTGACTGACTCGGCTCCGATAGCGCTTCGCTTGCCCCAAAGCATAAATTCATGACTTGGTTTTTAACGTTTTCCAATGGCTTGGCCCGAAGTTTGTTATAGATTATACAAGATTTAATTGAAATCGAAACTCAAATTTCAATTGAATTTTGGCATTAATGCTGCTGCTGCTGCAGCGCCATAAAGCCGATGCGATTGTCGGCTCTACGCTCGGGCCAATGAATATCAAATTACCATAAACAATACAATTGAATGAGCAGCAAAAATATAAACATAAACATAAACTCGTGCACACACAGCTGAACTGCTATGGCAATAGACATATGTCTGCTAACACATACACACGCATGCACACACACACACACACACACACAGGCGCATGTTGGCGCGACATCAAAATGCTAATAATCAGCGTTATGTTTGCCCGTTTCGATATCGCTCATACGACGCTTGGTCCCGCGCTAATCCCGGCACGCAGCATCAATAAGTCAAACACGTCAATCGCAAGCACTGCCAGAAAAAAAGCCGACGACAACAACAACAACAAAATGAAAGGAAAACAAACATAAAACAATAATACAACAACGAGAACAGTGCACAGCAAACAACGGGAACAACAACAATGGGAGAAACAACATCAAGAGCCACGATGCTGAGTCAAGCAAGGACAAAGACGAAATTTATTGTTGCTCAATGTCGCATTTATCATCACTTTATGCTACTTAATCGAGTCGTCGGCGTGCGTTTTTCTATGCCCAGTTTCCGTTTCGTTTCCAAAAATGTTTCATTGTTTACTTTTGCCTCAAACTGCTTGTGTATGGGTGTGTGTGTGTGTGTGTGTGTCAAGCACACGCTTATTGTTTTTTCCAGCTCACACTCACACGCACTCTCACACCCACCCACATGGACGCACGCACACTGGGGAAGCAGAACACGCACGTGCTTAAGTATTTTTCAGCGTCTTTTTATGCTTTATGGCGCCATTGAATTCGTTCGTTTGTTTTCTTATTAAAATATAATTTATATGTGTAGTCGCAGCAAGGACAAGGACAAAGCAAAACCCAGAGCCGAGGCATCAATTGTTTAATGGAAAACAGAATCAACAATAACAGCAAAAAGATATATGTCATCAGTTGCCAGTTGGAACTTAGCTCCTGCTCCTCCTCCTCCTCCTCCTCCTCCTCATCTTCCTCGTACAAGTTGAGCTCAATTGACGTTTATTTTCTTATTTATGTCCACGACAAAGGAAAATATTTGGTTCATGAAAGTCAGGAACGGCCTGCTCGTACAGCTCCTTGCCAGCTGGATAAATGTCACCTCTCATCTGATTATTTTTATTAAAATGTATTTTTTTTT